TTGCCTGATCCTACAAAGACGACTGACGGTGGCTTGCCTGTTTTTCCTCTACGAACTGCAGTGAGTTACACTGCGCTTCGTTTCGCAAATGAAGACAGCCGGACTCGAGCCAAAATCTAGATGGTTTTGCGTTCCCTTAGCCCATTTTGACAGTTTTATCCGACATTTATCAGTAATGAGAAAGTTAGCTGTAGGCCGCTGGTAGACAACAACCATACCTTGTACGACAAACCCAGATTTCGAGAATGTCCCAGATCAATGAGTGAGATTTCGTTCTACTTCATATAGTTGGAACTAGAAACATAGGCCAATCTTTAGATCCATCAAACGGAAGTACGGCAAGTGGTCACCACAGAAACGATTAGGCATAGGTAGCGGGAACTGCGCCGTTCAGTACATCGTTCGGCTTAAATTGATGCTTGGGACACTTGATACCGATGGACCATTAAACATGTTTTAAGCGACTAAACGAAATGGAGCACATTGTCAATGCGTCTAAGACACCCCCATATTGTTGGACGTTACTGCATGCTAGTTGTACGTTCGGCAAGCAAAGTGCCTCTGGGTAGCATACGTTCTCAAATATCGAGTATCTTGAAGTATTTTGTGCTGGTAGTTGTCTGACTGAACACAGAGTTCTTCGTATATATTCAAAGAACTGAATCTGAGATATGTTACTAAATGCTTTGCATAAATTTCGTTTACAAAGTCATAAAAGCAGCACACTATAATTCAGAGATCACTAGCGCTAACACGTGGTCACGAAATATTGTGGAGAAAAGTCCACATCTCTCATCGGTCGGCACAAATCCACATCATTCATGTGCTTTTTGTCAAAAGGTTTTGATAACCAAGCAGCTTTCTTGTATATACACCAACGCTCAAAGCTTAGTGAGCAAACTTTCCGAAATGCGGCTGCGTCAAGTATCAAAAGCCTGCCATCCCATCGCTATAACGGAGACATGGTTACGCCCTAACATAAGTGACATGGAAGTCGCACTGCCAGGCATGTCCATTGCTCGGTACGAGCGACCTAGCAAAAGTGCAGGGGCAGCTCTGTACTTCCGCAGCGACCTCCAATGTGAGCTCATAGACGATCCGGTCAGCACGGTACAAGATACCCTTTGGTCCATTCTACGTTTACCAGACGCTAACGACGCGCTAACGAGGTATTTGCAAGGATTTAACTAACTTGCACCGGAACCGCATGGCTTCCGACGAAATCGATCATGCACTACAAATCTACTACTAGCACGATCCACCTGGACTGAAGTAGTCGACTCTGGCACATGAGTTGACGTAGTCTTTCTCGACTTCTCAAAGGCGTTTAACCAGTTAGACAATAACATGCTGTTCTTCAAACTTCAGACGTTTGGTATTGATGATCCTCTCCTAGGATGGATCAGAAGCCTTCTTCTACACCGGCACCTGGAAGTGCGAGTACGTGATAAGCTGTCAGCTCCCATTCGAGTTTAATGCGGAGTACCACAGGGATCAGTACTATGACCGCAATTACTTTTGACGTATATTAACAATATCACTGGCCTCATTAGTTCGAACTGTCTTCTGTATGCCGATGACAACAAGGTGTGGCGAGCAATCAATACACCAGTTGATATCACAGTACATCAAGATGAAAGGGGTAGGGTCTACGCTTAGTCAATTTAGAATCTACTAATTCAATGTGGACAAATGTGAGGTGCTTTAACTACGGCCCAATTTGGTGCATACCTAACCAAATCTGCAACCAGGGGCTTCGAACGTCTTCTGATGAAAAGGGTCTTGGAGCTTTTGTCCAGGTTGACCTTGGATGTTCGCATCAAAATGAAACGGTCTCAATGAGGGGCATCCAACATGTGGGCCTCCGAAAGCGTGTATTCCTACGACTCAGCCCTTCGATTTTTCCACAACCGCTCAGCTCATATCTGCAGCCACATGTGAAAGACGCAACACAGGTCTGGCAGCCTTGGCCGAGTGGAGATCTCACTGCCTTGCAGATACCCCAATGCCCAGCAACCAAGACTATCAAGGATCCGTATAATTTGCCGCATGAACGAAAGCTACAAGTGCTCGTGATCTTCAGCGGACAAATCGGCGATTGCGCGGAGACCTCATTTTGGCTTATCAGATTTTGAGAGATCCCAAATACACGCGCCTTTAATTACTGGAGCTCAGTCACAACAGTAATTTGAGAGGCCAACATCTCCATCTGGCAGAGCAGCGCAGTCACTTGGAATGTCGTCACAGTGTGGAATGCCCTACCGGAAACTGTCATGTGTCCCCACACTGACAGAGTTCAAAGCCCGAGTTGACCGTGCACTTATTTCGCTGCACCATCTTACATGAACCATTACCAATGGATAAACACAAGTGTCTGTAAGAAATTTCAATGGCGATCAAATCCCAGATCTCGGTTAACGTTTTTCACCTTCGGTATGTGTACACCAGAAGGAGACAGGATTTTTACCAACATCCAATTTACCGTCATTTCTCATGGCTTTATCTTGGATTTGCAATCCATTCTACGGTTACTTAAGTGAGTTCACCGCTGTAAACCTTGTTTCGTTAACAAGAGTGTATACGTTAAATTTTCACCATAACCATCCTACGGGACCCATTAAGCAATCGCATTTTTATCCGCATAAACTCGTTGTTACATTGTATTTCCGTTTAACGCGATCAAGTGCAAGACTGTACATATAGCCATAGGTCCACTTACGTATAGAAGCTTGGAGACGACAGGATGAGAACTGCTTCACATGAGCGTGATCTTGATTTGGAGATGCAAGCAGACCTCGGCTGTTTGGCGCAGTCTTTGAAGGCATCCAATACCGCTAACCAACCCGTTGGTCTCTTATGGAGGGCGTTTGGGCGGTTCGACCCCTTCATCTTCCCCCACATGCTCAATGCGTATGTGGGGCCCCAAGTTTGAGTACGTGATTCAGGCCTGGAAACGCTGGTTAAAACGCGATCTGGTTATATTGGATTCCGCAAAGCAAAGGGTGACCAAGAATGTTAAGGGAATGCTCCACCTACCTACCATCTGCAAAGGAAAACTTTAAGAGTGTACGGCGGAAGTTATCGCCGTCTACTGGGCAACCTCATTCTTGCGTTCCAGATCTTACAAACCCCGATCACTCTTGCCGCCACCTCCCGAACTTAAGCCGTAAATCCAGGGGTCACCAGCTGAAACTGGCTACGCAATACCGTCGACTGGAATGTCGCCGGAACTAATTTTCTCTTCGAATTTGTCACTCTTGGAACGCTCTTTCGACTTTTGTCATTTTGGCGCCCACGCCATCTGTTTTTAAAAAGCGACTCGTCGATGCATTACAATACCTGCATTACCTGATTTGATTTCTGTTCACTTATGGACAACAACAGGAGGCAGACAAACAGTGTACTCTGCAGCCATCACGAAATCGGTGTAAACGGATAGATACATGTGGGTGTAAACAGATACACATGTGTGTACTGGAACATGAATTACAGTGGGTTTACACTTACGAATACCGCGATGAGTCTACTGGTGTGAACTTCAATTTGCTGACACCTTTTCTATATTTTGAATTTTTACCATAATCATCCTGCGAGACCTGTTAAGATACAGTATTTTACCCGTATAAAACGATGGTTCCATCCTATGCATGAGGCTGTCTGATATATTTCAACTTATCATCATCCGCTTGTTCGGATTCTAACTGCCATTTTCGCACCAACACTTTTATCCAAGTCCTTTTCGCTCCCCTACTTCTCCGTTCTATGCTTCGCTGTCTGGCCGCACCGCTCTTATGCAGCACATTTGTAGCCTCCCGTTCTACACATTTGGCTTGGAACTAAATTCGCCTAGTAGGTGACTTTATTATGTGGAGTTCGTACACGAAGTCGCGATAGTGTGAAATAAGAGATGCCTCAGCAGTTGTCGAACAAACAAGTCAGATACTGAGCCTCTAATGTTTCGTGGCAACGCCTGCTCATGCGCCGAGCATGGCACCTGTATCCATCGTGGTAAGTACCGGAAGTCTCAAGAGGTTAATAAAGAATGGTTTCTCAAACGAAGATACCCATCAGTCAATAGCAATGTTGATAAGGGAAACAGTCTGATTTGCAGTTCATGGCTTTGTGCCTCCGCTCAAACGTACCTGATGGAAACATGCGTAGTGAACACTGATAGCGTTCAGTCCAAGTCATGATACCCACCAGGGCTTTGCATACATGTTAACTACAAGACCCAGTTTGTTGCGTTTCTCTGCAACCCTTAGTTATACCATCAAGGGCAACTGTCGTCATGTTCGAATGTACTTCAATGCTAAACGCATTTGTTTACCATGAAGCCCTATACCAGTTATATTGCCCTTCGGTTTTTTGGCGAATACTCGGGCCAGATTATGTGATCCTCTAGGCGACAAATAGCTCGGTATTCCGAATCACTGCGTTTGCTCTTCAAGCTCTTGTTCAAGTGGGACTGAAACGATAGTATTATCTGATGAGCGTTTCTTCTTCAAATAGCAAACATAAAGTATAAGCGATACACCTGGAATGCGTTGCATCCGTTTGCTTGAAACAAGATGTGCTACGGTCTTAGTGATCACAGTGACCAAGGTTCATTTCAATGCGAATCGCGGTCCACCTTGAGATTGTGCGTCGCAACAACGTCGCACAACGCGTAATACAAAAGTGACCATCCAGCAAGAGGTGCTGATGTTTATCTAAAGCAATGCCGTCCAGGTTCGAGCAACGCTATTCATTGTGCTCATGTTATGACGAACAAATAGCTGATGTATTCTTCAGTACTGATTTTGATTCTGTTAAACAATGACCTCGCTACTCCATTCCCTTCGTCAAGGTAGCTCATGAGTGACCTCAATTGAACCCATACGCAGAAGTGTAGGGTGATGCTAGCTTCAAACTTGCATCCACAATGACGAGGTCGAAGCACCATCAAATAAATTCCAATAATGCAGAGCGATCAAGAAACAGGTATTACAATCAAAACTCACCTGTCCAGCACCAGTTTCTTCAGCCCAACCTGTTCACTTGCGATGCATTTTAGTGCATCGTCCGTTATTTTTGAACACCAGGACAAATCCAATTCAACCAACTGTTGAAAATGACGACAAAGTGCCCCCAAACCTTCGTCCAGGACATTCGCACAACCACTTATACTAAGTGTATGCAACTGCGGGAGGGCAAAGGATAAATTTTCCACCCCTTGACAGGTCAATACCATGCATTGGGTTAGTTTCACAGTTTTCATTTTTGTCCGTTTACTCTGTCTGAAGTAAATAAAGGCCGAATCGGTCACGTGATAGGCCTGCAGGGTAAAATGCTTTAAGTTAGGTAGCAGCTGTGCTACTGCGCTCACACTGTCATCCGTCACATTGATGCAGTCCAAAATACTCAAATTCACGATGGTGTAAGGTAAGCAGTTCCAAAACGCTGCTGCAGTGAGTCGGTTACAACACTCTAGATGTAGCGAGTAAAGCCCTGGAAATGTGTGTACAATAAGTTGCAAGCTATTATCTGTTATGGGGCAGAAACGCAGGGCCAAATGTGTGAAAAACTTGGACTTTCTGTGTAATTTGTGGAAGTGAAATGTGTCCTGGTTTTTTGAAGACAATCGTGACTCCGACCCTGACTTTTCACATCTTACTTGCCCCTGACCATAATTGCTGGGCGCATCAGCGTGGAGCAGAGTTGATGACAATGGGATGTATGATGACCGCGTGCATTGAGAACACGCATTGACCCGTCGATAGACGTCCGGTTGTGCTTTCGTGTGTGATTTACACGTAGGTGTGTCGTGGGCATGCATTGTGATAGACCGCTGAATACTGGACTGTTTCCGACTGAACCGGTGGCATGGCGAGGTTGCTGTCATTACGTTGTTTACATTAGCTGGATATGAGGCATTCTGTCGTAATTCAGCCAATGCATTATATAACGCCGGTACGTAGCAATCGGCTAGCCGAGTGATAGAGAGTGACTGGATTTGCCTCCGAACACCGGACGCCAGCCTTTCTCTCATTTCTCCGTCGAGCTCGTCTTGCGTGGTGAAAGACTTGGGTGTATTATCTTCATACATTTTCCTGACTTCCTTTTGAACAGATGAGCGAAAGCGCTTGTGACTAAAATCCAACTTCATGGCCAGTTTACCCCAGAATCCATGGTTGCAGCTGATACGGAACCAACACTTGCACACAACACACACATGAAGCAGTTGTGTTCCAGATAAGTGCTTCAGAATCTCTTCCATAACCTTTTCGTCTCTCCATAATCCACTCACCACCGCTGGTCGTCCGCGGACAACTCTACACACGTAATTACGAAAGCGCACACTCTTGTGTTTGCTCACTGGTGTGCTCACGTCCATCTTCATTCCCTGGCTCAACAGCTTTTGTTTTATAGCAGCTACCGTTATACCACGATGTGGGAAAATAGGAGATGAGCCTGCCGAATTACAGTGATAATAATCCACACCAATTGTGTTTTTAGCGGATGAACCGTTGGCCTCTCTGTGTGCATTCAAGTGAAAGCTGCGTGTCAATTGAGCTATTCGGTGGGCTACTGTTGGGGACGAAGGAGACAATTTTATTGGATTACGCTCACGTTCATGATCAATCACGTGCATCGTACTTCGGTGCATTGCGAAAACGGGTGCTTTTGTGCTGGACGAAATTCCGCTTGCCACATTGCTTTCATAAGGGTTTTTTATTCCGTTGTTAGGGGAAACCATATTGAATGGGGATTTGCTAATGGGCCAGGTAGTAATTGGCTCCTTATTTATCAGAATGAGACTTTCCGAGCCGCTTGGCTGAGGGTGTCTTTGGTCGATGTGGTTTTCTGTAGACATCCCTCGGTGTATGTAATCCGCTACTGCGGGAAGCGTTTCGATTGTTTTGTTGGTGTTTCCATTTAACTTGCATCTTCTCGATGGGATTGGTGAAGGAAGTGATGTGCTGCGATCTGTCATTTTAGCTGTTACGTGCCCGGCAGTTCTATTCCTTTCTTGGGTGTTATCCCGACTCATATCTCTTTCAGTGGACCGGTGGTTGGTGAACTGCGATTGTCGGTTTTTATTAGGTGATACGGTGGGCGACGGCTGAAGCTGGGGTGACGATGAAGTAGAAGAAGGTCTAGGTGTCCAGAAATTCCTCAGGTTGTTCGACCAGTCAATGCAGACTTTGGTAAAAGACGCCATTTTCTGCAATGAAAGATAAAAGCTGGAACAAGTTCTCGAGCTACAGCACTCTTCAGATTTGTAAAGCTCAGTAATTTTTTAAGATACATCTAAGCTTCAATGACTTTGAACACGGGGACGCCTAGTTGCCCAGCTGTAGATGCTCCCGTGGATGCGAAGGATATCTTGCAGTCGTTATGTCCCAGGGCATTAGGTGAACAAAAATGCTCAGGCGTTTGCGCTACTCTGATGAAACCATGCTCACTATCCTTGCTGCGGTTTCCAGATTACAGTTCGATGGACACAACTGGAGGTTAGCGCAGAAGTAATAAGACAAAACACAACAGGAGAGTGTTTCTATCTACCTACACTGCTATGATTAGAGAAAGAATCGGAATAAAATGGTCATTAGTATAGATAAACGACTAGCAACATTATCAGATATTCATTCCAGTCACGGTAATAGCAATTGTTCATCTTATTTAGCTACCTTTGCAATCCTAGGACACGGACTTTCTCGCTTCAGTGAAATGACCGTTCTTTCACGGAGTAATTATTTCTCCACTCCACCATTTCGGTGCCTTAGCTGTAAAACACAAACTGTGTTCACTGTCGCGCATGTATAGACCGTTCCTCTTGGATTGTGTGGTGGAGGTTTCCCGAAGGTAGAACGCGTTTTAACTCTCCTTTCATGGACTGCTTAGACCACCCAGTATTTACTTTTTTATGGGGTGCATAACTGCAAACTTCTTACCTGAATGACACCTGATCCAGTTTTCCTAGTTTCAAAGAGTGTAAGTGCAAACTTCAAATAGCATATGTAACGTGAAAGTACAAACTACAGCGAAAAGAATATTGGATATGCAAAACTTGACGGCGGGACTCAACGGAGAAGTTAAAATAGTGCGCATGAAGTACAAGAAAAGAAAAATAATACAAGGAGTCTCATCCCCTTGTTACTTCCCTCCTTATTTGACTATGCCTACCTCCCAGTTCTTATACCTACATGGAAGTGAACGATGAGAAACATTTTGAGTCTCACTGCTTTCTTCTGACACCCGTTGCATCATAAGTTTATTCTGCCTTGTTTTTACTGAACTCGTTCATACCATCAGTGATTATTCGATGTACTAGCAATCGATTTCTCCTTAATCAGCAGCCCTTTTTTTGCAGGCACTCTGGCAGTGTCTTCTGTCTGTTGTTCGTCATCAGCCGCAGTATCCGCACATCCTGGCCACAGAATAAGGTACTAAGTCCAGTGGCAGTAACCCTATGCAATGAACCAGATAGAATCATACCCAAATCCGTCTAGTCAGTAGTAATAAAAAATTTAAGCCCTACCAGTATTCAAAATGGATGTGTGGATTCACGGCGCTGGCAAGGGAAGACCTGGCCTTGACAGCCAACCAGTGTTCTCTGCACGGGCAATAACCCGCACGGCAGTGGAGGATAGGTCGGCTATATCGTAGTTAGGTTTCAATTTGTAATAGTTGGCTGTCATCCTGCATGGCTCAATGGCATAAGCTTCTGATTAGTTGGCGTTAACCTCTAGCGGTCATGGGTTCGATCCCCGGTAGGGAACGGATGGATGCGCACCAATGACGAGTCCCACTAGAGCGAATCTCGCATCTGGTGATTTTCCGGATTGGTAACTTACCTATGAGGCTTAGGATCCAATCGCCATGAACCAATTCGAACTTATGCAAAGTGTCGGGTAAAGTGAACACTTATGGACATACGGAAGATGTTCCTCCAGATTCCTCAACGGGCGTCCTCCTAGAGAACAACGACCGCTTCATGTTAAGATGAAGCGGGCATAAATATTCTCTGGTTGTGCAACATGCATGGTGACCAGCATGCATAAAGTTTCGCCCAAATGAACTACCCTGACTCCAACGCAGCGTTGGATAATATGCCAGAGCAAAGTGAACAATTGTTATGCTTGTAAATGGTGTATTTTTACATTGCCTGCTCGATATCTGTCCTTGTTTACTTCCATATCCGAACAGTAACTAGGTGATAACTTCGTCGAATAATCTTTTACAATGTAAGACCTATTACAAAAAGTAGTTGAAGAGTTGATTTAAATGACACGTTGGTTTATTTGTATTAACTTTTGTTTTGGAACTATCAATTAAATAGCTCATTTCAATAATTACTATATAGCGCTTCAACATGGATATTGAAAATTGCAGCATTAAAGCTTTAATTTTAATGATAAGGATAAACTAGACATTCTTTTCAGAGCGCAAACTAATAGGGACTAGATGCTTAAGCCTAATGCGTTTATTCTATCAGAGTAATTCAAAATAATGGTATCCTCTCGAAGATGTGTGAACCATCCTGATTTTGTTGAGACGTCTGTAACCAGTGTATTTCCAAATAGAACAGGAGACCTGTATCAGACTTCGAGAAAGGAGTTTATCCTGGCTACGGTTGAGTCAAACTTGGAGACCATTATCAGCCACGGACAACTTATATTGTATACATTTCTTGATTAATATATTTCAGAATGGTGACAAATAGAAAACTTGGTGAACTGAAAATTGAAATACCATTGGTCTGGATACAGTCGCGAAATCATTAAGTTGACTGCTGTTGTAGTGTGGTCAACATCACAGGCATTAATGGTACAATTGAAACAAGTGCTCATATTCTGACTTAACCAGAAAGATGTGTTATTGTATATTCAGATGATTAGCCTGTTGCTAAACTTCCACCGGATAACTAATGTGCCGGATTATTTTGAAACTTACAAAAGTGGACAGAGTGACAGTGATTTTCGAACACTAACAGCATTCTCTTAGCGTGTCGGCTAAAATGAACTGAATGACGTTATTAGAGTCCGGAATCTCTCAAAAGAGTCATCTGAATTACTGTCTTCCAGGCTGAAAGAAAAAAATACATTTTACCACGGGACAAAGATCACATTTACTTGTAGCTGATAAAAGGATTTACTACAATGTTTTTGCTGAAGACATCAAAATGCTTTTCTGCAATGAGGTTGAGAGACTGCTGATGAAATCCGGTTTGCAGGAATACGTAACAAATAAATGGTGTCTTTATTGAAGTGTGCTATCCTGCACAGTGACAGTAATTGCGCTTCGATTCCCAAAGTTCATTCCACAGGCATAAATGGAGTACAATGCAATCAATTTTACTAGTTCGTCATGGTAGCTCACAAGCTTATCAATGTAACCACCCATCCGGGAAAGCACCAGATCACCATTTCGTCTTATGTTGGCTGGTTAGTGGCAAACGAACATTTCTGCCTTAGACAAAGTAAATTACTACAAGCCTCGGTGAATGATGAGGGTTGATTTATGGATAATGAATGTCATTCTAGGGATTTAAGCTGAACGCCTAAAGTACCCTAGTTTTTATGTCTTTAGGACAGTAGGAACAAAAAGAGTCATTGGGTTAGAAAAGACTGGCCACTGAGAGAAGCCGCTGTTGTTAGGGAATATAACTTTTCCAAAGCACTATTGGTCGCCAGGGACGAAATCATTTTACCACTATTACCCATCAACCTAAGTTTGATGAAGAATGTTTTGAAAGACGCAGTAAGAAGACGAAGGCTGGCATATGAACAAATTACATATTGTCTCATCAGTTCCTTTAACAATAACTCGCAATAATCTTTATTCAGAAAAGAGTGCGACCAAACATACATTGCCTTCTGTCTACCAATTCATGTGATTGCGGCTCCAGTACATAGGCAGGACCGATAGGACATTGAGTTTCCGAGAGAAGGAGCATGTACCTAAGTGGGTTCAACGTTAGACCGCGCAGGAAACTGACCAGAGTCAAGCTGCTTGTCTGCGTAATCCATCTGCCTTTTCGATCTGCCGACACTTTTTGGTTACCGAGTCGTGGTCAATTCGGCGTTCATAATCCTATTACACCACACCAATTCTCACCCCCTACGTTTCCTAGAGGCGATTGCAATTGGAACAATGGAACAATGGTTTATTACGGGTAAAAAAGCGTTGCTTAACAAGTCCCGTAGGATGGAAAATTATTGTGAAAATCAATTGCATGATAAAGGGAAAAGCGTTGTGGTGGACTCACCATAGACTTATGCGGAATAGCGGAGAAGTTCGCGTATGAAACATATGAAACTATAAATCCATTGGTTAGGCGTTTGGCAAGAAACCGTTTGATTGCGTTTTGTAGCTCCTGGCTAACAAGTCATAAAATGAAATTACCGGATTAAACCGATGCCTTGTGTTTAGAAACAATTATCATTCAGTATTACACTTCCCTGGGGATGGGGTGATAACCTCTTCCCGTTTATTGTAACTTGGTCTCTTTGTATGCATGTATGTGTGGTCGCACACTTATCTGATTAAATATTATTGTGAGTTATTGCTGAAGGCACTGATGAGACAATATGAAATGCGTGCATTTGCCAGTCTTCGTCTTCTTCTTGCACTTTCCAAATTTTCGATAGATCCGAACAAAGAAGACCTGTGTTTTGATTCTATTTCATGCAGGTTTCCTGGATATTTTGATGGTCCTCAAATAATACAGCTCCTTCAGGATTTCATATTCCTTGATTCTATGAACGAGACAAAGTTCCCTGCTTGGTCTTCATTTACTCAAGTGGTTATAAACCGTCATCGCAACCACAAAGCAGACAACTATGCTGAACTCGTTACAAATACTCTTAACAAATTTTAGGAATTTTGTCGCAACATGAGTTCTAAGCTTCTGGACTGCTTTAAAGAAAGTATGGGTAGTATAAGCGGAGAACATCATGAAAGATTTCACCAACCTAGTAAAATGATGGAAATAAAACACCAGGGATGGTGGGACTCCCACATAATGGCAGAGTGCTGTTGGAATCAGTACAAGGCTGCACTTACAGATAAGATTCGAGGAAGTCCAAAAAGTGACGTTTTGTGTGCATCAAAGGATGGCGCTATATTCTGTCAAGTGGAATTTTTCGAATCCGTTATCAATTTAAAGTGTATAGCTCACTTTGGTTTACATTTTAGTATCTATCTTGCTCAGGTATA